CATCGTTTTAACACAGTCACTACTGCCTCGGGAGAGTGACTAATTGAATTATTTGGACATTAAAAAAAAATCTGATTTGTAGCCTGAATGAACAGCTGTTTTCTATGGTTAAGTGGAAAAGTTGAAAGGTGAAAGTCAAAGCTTGAATAGCCGCTGGTAACGTGCACTGGGGGTTTCCCACGTTTTCAAGATACTCAGAAATATCATCTGTACATGGTGTTGCAGTTTGATGGCAGCATTTTAGGTGGCTGTTCCCGAAGGGCTGCAGAGCTGTTTTGTCTTTTTGGCCTTTTCTCCTGTTGCCCCCCACATGCCCTCATCCAAACTGCCTATTCTGCTTATTCAGCCCAGCTTTTGTGAGGAAGGCTATTCATACCTCTTGTCAATGTCCATGTGGTATTGAGGAGTTTCTCTGCAGTTAAACTCTTTTCATTGGTAGTTCAAGGCAGTCACCTGGTGGCATGGCACTATCTTATGTCCCCTCATGTTTAATAGGTTAGATTTATGGGCTTTTACAAGTAAATGTGTTACCACTGAAAGACCATGAACCAGCTGAGACCTTCCACCTGTCAATGAATGTGGCTAGTCGTCGGCTATATGGTGGAGCCTCTAAAGTTGAATGGTCATGAGGTTATTTCCGGATATCCATCGTACACACTGGTGCCATGCATAATATCATGAGATGTCAGAATATCATGAAAGACCTCACAAAATCTCAGGAGATCTCTAATGTGCAAGCGCCAAACGATTTGCAACGGGTTTGAAGTCAATGTTACTGATTTGTACATCCATTATTTCCTATGGGATGTTTGTTTTTTTAAATTGCCTCCCTCTCCACCCCCTGGGGGGAAAAATAGTGGTCGAAAAGCATTTTGAAACTGAAATTGTGTTCAAACTTAGAGGTTCCATAGTAACACTTATTAATGGTAATGTGTCACCTTCATTTAGATTCACACAAGAAGTGTGATTCGGGTGATTAGGCAATAAATATCTCCCAGCCGACGTGAATGGAGAGCTGAGTGTGGCTTGTTCTGATAGGAAAAAAGGTTATGGTGTGCTTGTCTATCGTGTGGACTTAATTTAATAAGGTCATAAAATTTGACCAGCGCAGCGCGCTGCAAGAAGATGCGATCCTACTGAGCACTGTGAGAACTGGTAATTAAAGCAACCAATCCAGGTAGTCCTGAGAGGATGTCCTAAGCAAGGCAGGCAGGATGCCCTGAATGGCACTGAAAAGCAGCAGTTGTCTTGAAGCAGCTCTCATCTCACTATACCTTTGTTTTATTCAATTATATTATAAAACTTCAAATTGGATCAGGTGATCAGTTAAAAATGTCCAAGTGGTGGGTGATCATGTTTTTCCATTTTAGCTCAAGCATTCGGAATTCCCCCTCATTGCCCAGAAGGCATTTAAAGCAACAATTCCAGTTTTGGCTTAATTTTCAATTTAAATAATTCCACAAAGAATCTGCCAGTAGGGCCTCCACACTCTGTTAAAAAAACAAAAACATGATATGCTGTTAGGGCACTTCCAAGTGTGGTGAGTGTTTAGTTGTTAGTGCTTGACATAGCAGAGGGAGAGAAGTTACGGATCAAAGACCCAGCCAGAACAATAAAACCAAATCCTGTGAGGTGCTGACCCCTAGACCTCAAGATCCCCATTACTGCAGTTCACTGCTCATTATTATGGACAAGACGGTCCGGAACCCAAGAGGCTGCCCCGCCCTCCCCACCGTGAGGCAGTCAGCTCATCATGCTTGGCCAAGTTCTCCACCTCTTTTACATCTGATGCCAAGAGGTGTCTTTCGGCCAGTTCCATAGCGAACTTCTTCCTCTTGAAAACAATTAATAACAAAAAGTGAAGACCATGTTGTGTTTTTGCTCTTTGTGAAGCGCAAAAATGTTCCCATATGTTGCCTTTGGTGAAGTAACTTCCCAACCTAATGCTGACTGTGGGGACCACAGACCACATCCTTCATCACATGTGCGACCATTTTAAATGACGTTGTTGCTAAGTTTAGTCACGAGATGTGATTTGAAAAAAATATATATATTTTACCAATCTACATTAAGGCATAAGGCATGAATTTTACTATCCTCTGTCAATTTTTTGTAATTGTAACTTTTGTCACAAGTGGTCTAATATTAGCAATGCGTCCCTCGGCCACTTGTGTTGTGTACATACTATCAACTTACATGTTTGTTGTTTGTTGAACTGGTCGATGCTCGGCGAAAGACAAATGAAGACTACTTGGGACATTATGGCAAAGATGAGCAATTATTTGCCACATTGCTGCTGAGTCAGAGTGCAGATTGACACATGCACTTATTTGCTAAAATATCCCATTCTTTCTTTTCTGGCCCCCACACGACATAATGCTTCCAGTATAAGCTTTCTAATATTTGCCACGGAGGCTTAGCACCCGTCCTTGTTCGGAATGTTGCGGACCTCCTCAAATAGCTTCATTCTATGTGAATATTGACTTTGTGCTGTTACACGGCTCCTCGTAAAAACACTCACCCTTCCATGCATGTCTGTATACACATTTGCCAGCCTTTCCTTATTTATTTAATGGAACGTTATTGGTGAAATGACGTGCTGGTTGCAACTCGTGGGCGAGGTTAGTCCGAAGTTGAAAGCGAACAGAAAATGAGAAGTTTTCAAAAGGCGGACCTTTCCTACGTTTTTCTTTTCATTTACCCCTAAAGGTAAGAAGCAGGGGGTGAGTTACATCGTTGTGGTTGAGATGCTACAGTACTCATATGAGGGAGTGTGATTAAACATAACAAATAGACTTAAAATGTTCCACTGTTCTCCAAAGTGCATAATCTGGCAATGAGAAACCCGCAGACTTGGCAAACTCATTTACATCAAGGTCATTGCAATTTTCGGCCAATCCCGCAACGCTATATCAAGTTCAAGTATTTGTCGTAACTATAGAAACGGAGCAATGTGGTCACACAGTTCAAGCCTGGAACGGAGGAAGAAAATGCTCTTTGTCGGCTTGCTATTGCTGCGCTTTGTACTGCTTTTCAGATAAAGTTCTTATCCACCTGGTTTTTCATGGGCTAAACAATGGACAATTGGCGCATGTTCTCAAACATCATTTGTGGCCCTTTGGCCTCAAGCAAAAGGTCTGATAAACCATGAGCAAAGTTTAAAGGAGCCGCAAATGCCCAAGAAAGACATTTGAAGTGGCCAATATACATTTTGACAGAAATTAACTGGACTCATCCCCATATTCTGTTTGTCTTCTGCTAGATGCACCTATTCATGCTAAATGTTTAAATGTGCTGTGTTCGAGTTAGCCAATTTAAAATCTTGCTTTTGTGCTTCTAAGACTGTCTATCAATATATTCTTTCAAGAGCCAGTTAACCTATGAGCCATACGGCACGCATGATTCTTTCAAGAGCCAGTTAACCTATGAGCCATACGGCACGCATGAAGGGGTACTCGTGAATAATGGTGCCATTTGTCTGTCCCCAGACTGCACATGGAGCTCTGCAGCCAACAGTGCCTCCTGTAATTATGGACCTGAACTGTGGAGACTATTACTCTCCATGCTAAACTGAAACCAAACCCTCTATTTCACTCTTGGTATTTGCTCTTTTCAGCACACGAGAAGCATGTGTTTAAAGGCTGTGTTATTTTTGGGCTGCAGCTTGACTCCCTTCTGTTAATGGTGCAGCATGAGTGAGTTGAAATGTAAAAGCACATGGAGGAGGCCACAGGCTCATAGACGGTTGTTGACATTGCTTCTCTTCACTTATGTGGTGTGAATTCTTGTTTAATTACTCCGGCACCCACTCACTTCGGGATTGACTTTATATTGACAACCTTCTTAAGTTACTAAACTACCATGACCGAAATGCAAAGCAGTGACACTTAATGCTCCAGTGTGTATGCGCAATGTTGAGCCGAGGCTCGGTATTAAATCAGTTATGCATACTTGTCACAATTACAAATTTGACTGTTAAGAACCTGATTTATGAGTGACAGTGAAGTGTGGTGATGCTAGTTGTTCCTCCCTGACCATTCGCATTGCGCACAGCCACGCTGCGACCAACGAGTGAGAATGTGTGGCTGGTGTCGTGGAATTCTAATCTTGTTGTGATAGAAATAACTTGGCTGGTATTGTCACACTTGAGTATGGATGTGGGAAAACACACAGGACGGCAAAACAGTTTGCCTCAATTTATACGATAGGTTATGGTGCTTTTAGTCATTTTTAAAGGAATGGCATCATTTTGCTGAATTCTACTTTGTCTAAATCATTCAGCAATGCCCATGGGAAAATTAACGTATGTCTTTCTCGATCTCTCACACTCTTCTTCAAACAACTTTGGCAAGGAAATCGTTTTTTTTTTGTTTTTGTTTTTGTTTTTTTTTGGTGTGGTTTTTTTGATGGGGACCCTTTAATATTTTATGAATAAAAGTTCCCCACTCTTACAGACAGTGTTCAGAACAGTTTTCAGCTTTTCTATTTAAATTCCATTCTTGAAATGCAAACTGCGGAGCTGAGCTGTACATTGGTATTATTTCACCTGAAGGAAATCTACTCATTCGTCATTACTATTATCAGGTTTTCACAGGTGCAGTAAAAAATAGGCCCCAACTGATTTCGATTTTTGTGTAATAGGACCACGCCGATTCCGATATTTGGCAGAATTAAATTCTGATAACTGATTAATCGGCTGATTACTGCAAAAAAATGTATAATAAATTAAAATAACTTTTTTGGTCCCTCAATGCTGAATGCTCACACCAATAAAGATATGATTTAGAGGCAGAATATTTGACTGTTTTGCAATATTTTGTCCCTGAGTATTGAACTTCACAACTAGTAAAAAAAAAAGCTCAAAATAAATCTGTTTTTTTATGACCATTGGAAGGCACTGGAGCTTATAACTTTACAAGCCATAGAAAATGTTCACGCTGCTGTCCAATATAGATGACACTTTCTCACCTTTTCTATCTCCTTTCCACTCTGTTTCACAGCCATAATGAGCGAAAGGTGACCTGCAAGCATCCCGTCTCAGGCTCGCCCTCTCAAGACAACTGCATCTTTGTCATCAACGAACAGTAAGTCTTTTATTTTTATTTTTTTCTTTCCCCAGAATGTCACTGGGTTGCATTTCCAGCACCGCTTACATTCTGTCGAAAGTTCCGATGCCGTTCCACCCCTGCCTCTAATTGCAACTTTGCCCTCATCAGTCAAAGGTTGTTCTTTCCAGCGCTAAGCACGCGTGCCAATTATTTATAAGATAAGGGATGAAACTAAAACGGCCTTTGTATTGCGTACACATCACTCAGTTGGAATGTGATCGTTCACATGCAGTCCCTCTCGACCCCGGACAAGTTGGTGACCTTTGCTGAAGTCATCCAGTAAGTGTCCCCTTCCAATGTTCCGTTCATGTGATTAGACTAGTTCAGCAAAACGGCTGATTACTGCTGCTCCTTTAATCATAACATTATTGAAGGTAATTTGAGTAAATTTCTTATTTCAGAAGTGAGTATTCAACTGGTATCCCTTTGCATTAATCAGTCCCCAAGAAGTAGTTCTCAGTGTTATAAATCTTCAGTGTAAGTCTGTAGTACTGTATTTCAGGAATCTATTTGATGTCACCACATTCCCCAGAGTCATTTAGTTTAGCAGAAATGGATTGAATGCTCGCTTGTGAGGCTTCTTGTCATACGAGAAGCGTCACACTGCACTCTCTCGTCACATTTCTCCCCTCGCTGTGTTACTCTCACTTCTCTGCTGCTTTTGACATAAATAGGCACAACATGCTGGTGCAAAATGTCATCTCAATTGGAAACAAGCCTCCCTCACACCCCCCAACATGAAGTACAAACCTTGCATTTCACTCTTAGGAAAAAAAAAAACAAAATGGAAAACATCCAGCATTTAGCTTTCACTCTTAGAAAAACAAAAAAAAAACACAAAATGGAAAACATCCAGCATTTAGCTGTCTTTCAGGGAAAGTAGTAAAAAGGGAAACTAGCCCCTGAACAATAAAAAAGGGATTTTATCTACCACGAGGACAAAGAGGCCATGTGGAAAATTGCTGTGACTGCATTCAAATGTGGCATTGTAATGTTTAACGACAACCAGTGAACAAACGTGAAAAATGCACACTGTATACCCTCAGTTTTATCACAGAATTCAAGAAACAGTCGGACATATGAGAAATGATCAAAACAACTAAACACCAAATTTGACTCTCAGAGGCCATCAGAAACTATTTTGATCAAGTAAAAAAGAGGCCCACTATCACAAGTGACCTGACATCAGAAGTGCTTTATCATTTGTTATTCTCAAAGTTTCTTCAAGGGTTCAGAGCAGGCTGTTCTCCTGATTAACTTCCTTGTCACTGCGGTTGCTAATATGTCTTGTGTGTCAGCTCTTGGTGCGATGCCACTTTCTGTTCCTAATGTTGCTTCTGAGTGTTAAGACAGCTTTATGTCATAAACATCTTTCACTTCTTATTTGCGCTTCCTGCTTTGCTGCTCATGCTGAGGTCTCCAACGGACTTGACCCACCGCAAACAAAGACGTTCTCAGCATTCTGTCTTCACTGTACATGTTTCAACCTGTTTTGAGTCATCCGCATGATCATGTGCATGCTTACAGCAAATATTTGGACAGCTCTCTCACTGTCATTTGGTTTTATCTTTTACTAATGATTAGCTAAATTGTTTCACAGTTCATGCTAGCAATTTACTTAAAAGTTCAGTCACAGACAATTTTTCTTCTTTGAGGTTCCACTATACAGTACCTTGTTCATGCGAAAATCACCATACTGCCAATAACTGACTTAAAGGACAGAGACTCAACACTTTTCTTTCCTCTGTTTTGTAGTGTGTATTGTGGAAAAATGTTTCATCCAGCGCGTAGCAGGTAAAAAAAACCGTTGGCTGCTAGCATACCATGAACATGTGTGTTTATGTAAAGCACTTGAGCGTGTCGGTGTGATGAGACGCCTTGTTGATGCACACTAACACTCAGTGAGTGATTTGAATGCCGCCTTGCCTGATAACCTGTTCTGCATTTACATGACAAAGTCAAGTCTGTTGTGTTCATCCAAGTCTTCACTAACAGCTAGCAGAACATAAGGAGCTGAAAAATGTCTCAGGACACAGGCAGTATTAGCTTTTTGAAAACAAACAAATAAATGAAGAATAAAGCTGCTAGATAAATCTCTCTTATCACTACCGTACAATCCATAGTGTTGACTGTACACTGATTTCCACGGGAACACCAAATCCACTCCTGCTCTGACTCTGCAAAGGTTGCTTGATAACATACCAGTTGGATTACACATTGTGGTTCTGTGCCGAAGAAGCGTGTTGCTATAAGCGTAAGTTCACCTTGTTGCTTACTTGGACAGAACAGAGACACAGTCATGCGCTCAGGCTTGTTGAGCTCTCCAAATATCTGGAAATTGTGCTTCACCGCTTAGTTCGACAGCGTGTTCTGATCCCAGGGTCTTTTGTTCACCAAAAAGAAAAAAAAAAGGTCTGGTCCAATACCAAACAAAGGTGGTCGTTCCTTCTTTAGAAACGCTGTGTGGACATTTTAAAATGCACCCTCAGCCAGTCTCAGTTCAGTTCCCCCCGACTAGCGCCCACACATCACTGTACGCAGGGCACCGAGGCTCATTGGCACTGTTATCTTTCCTGACCCTAATAGACACACGGGCACACACGCACACTGATGCAGTGACCAGTGATCTAAAGGAACGAGCCTCATGGGCATAAGTGATAGTTTGCTTTGTTAATGACAGGCCACACAGCAGCAGAGCAGTTTAAAGCACACGGTTTCAATAGCGCAATCTGCTTTTCATCATACTTTAATTTGGCTTTCTCTCTTTACAGTTGGAAGCCTTTCAGAAAGATTTAAAGTCCCAGTGTTTCTAATGCTGCTGGTTTCATTTATTTTGGGAAAATGATAAGATGATTTTTTTTTTTTTTTTTTTTTTTTGTCATTTGGGGTTTGTTTTTGAAAAAGACGCAAAGTTGACCTATGCCTTACTTAACCCAGTAAGGTTTGGAGGTTTTCTGGAAGAAATAGCGGAAAGCTCAGTGCGGGGACGCAAAGAAAGTCCTGGAAAACGTAGTCAGTGAGCTTGTTCCATCCTTTAATCAGAGCATTTGTCATATTCATGAATTACACTGTAACACTAACCTGTGTAGGAGTGAGACATCTTTTTTCGCCTTTGTGATTGGCATGCGTGTATGTGACTTAAAGTGCATTTGAAAAGAAGCCTGCTGTGCACCACGGCCCGAGTGCAACATGCTTCATGTTTGAGATGAAGGAAATGCTGGGGAATTACGTTACGGGGGCCTTAAAGTATTGTCGAAAACAACATGGTTTCGTCCACGATAATTCTGACAACCAAATACAATGTAGCCAATGTCTTTGGCTTTAGAGCGGACCCTTATAAGGTTGAAGAAAATCCGCTCTGCGATGCTAGTTGAACAGTCATTTGACAATCTTGAATGTAACCTTCTAAATGTCAATGGAAGTCAAGTGCTCTCTAGTTGTAAAACAATTTTAATGGCCATAAACCGACACAGTGGCAAAAACAAGGAAGATGGCTTCACATGTTAGTGCTGCTATACTCTCTCGTGTATAGTCAGTTCTGTTATTCTCTAAAATTTCCATTCGATGTTACCATTCTATGAAGGTACCACAAATAAAAGCAAAAAAAACCAAAAAAAAACCCCAACAACAACTCTCTTTTGTTAATTTTGGGATTCCCACTGCACTTTAATGCTTTCGGTTGTGCTCAGTTTTACTCAGTCCATTGTAATAAAAATATGTATAGCTCCTGTGAGGGATGTTAAAAAATCGTTTCCTCACCTTCTACGAGCAATCATACAACACCAGAACGTTTCTATTTCACTGCATTGTGATTGATTATCGTGGCCTAAAGTATTATCTACGAAGCACGACACAAGAAGCTGATGGGAAATGAGCATCAAATACCCCTTTTCCACCAAAACAAACTTGGTGCTCGTTCGGCGCCGGGGCCAATGCTGTGCTTAGTTGATGCTTAACAAGTTCTTACGAAGAATGTGTTTCCACCAGCAAAGAGCCAAGTAGGAGCTACGTAATCACGTCATCGTAAACCATCCAAACATCACTGCTTATGTCGACATTTACCCATGAGCGCCTGCGCTATTAATAATAATAATAATAATAATAATACTACGACTACTAATAATAATAATAATAATAATGCGCTATTAGCACCTGCTAGGCAAAATAGCAGAGCATCGATTATACTTTTATGTAATATATAACGGGGACATGCAATCATCAAACACTGATATCCTTCCTAATCATTGTAGATGATCACGAGGCTGGCTGCAAGTCGGAGATCGCATGCTATCTGGGCACATCCGCGATCGCTCGTTTGATGGGACACAATCATACCGGGGGGTTCACCGCTCAACAGTGAATCTAAAACTTCCGTGTTTCCAGGGAGTCAATCCTCTACATCTGCGATCGTCATGATAAGCCTGCCCACTGCCCCTTGACGTACAGTCTGGCCTAACAAATAATTGGGGCCATCTTAAGCACCAGTTTCAAGCACCAGAGCTAAGAGCTATAGCCAATTTCGGTGGTGGAAAAAGAAAGAACTTTTGCCTACCTGGGCACTGGCCGGGAACTAGCGCTAGCACGAGTGCGGTGGAAAAGAGCCAAAAGAGAGCGACATCATTATTAGCATGCCACATTCTAAAGATTAAAAAAGTAAACATCTAAAGTTCTTAACAATAGGAGAAAAACGTAATCATCGACTGTCTTTTTCCCTTTTGTTGTTTTTAAATACATGAATAAAATACATTTCACAGTGCCTCTTCCCTTGATGGCCCTTCCGCGGTGTTTTTATGGTCAGTTGACACATCATTGATTGTGGGTCATTTTTCACTGCTAGTGCAGCAAATCCTCTGAGCTCATTAACCCGAGGAGGCAAACCTCAGTGGCCACTCATCACTTTTCACAGGAAATTATTTTCGGGTTGGAAATTGTGTCCACTGTGATTCAAAGGAGGATTAGTCAGCTGTTTTTTCCATCACAGGACTTCAACTCTGAATAGAACTCAATTTCTTATTCAGTCCCCTGACACAGCAATCTTTTGATAATAAAGGGTAATCAAGATGAGTGGTCATGAAGTGGTTATGTCATCTTTATAATGAAAAACAAAAATGTCACTGCATCTTGTGACGAACAAAGCCAAACAGTAACTTCTACTCGAAATACAGGTAAGCAAATATCAGCTGATTGTTTTGAATCTGTACTTGTCCGTGTAAAACATGTTGCCGTGCTGCATGAGATTAAGTATCGTGTGGGTGGTGCCTGCATTTATTTATTTATTTTAAATTAGTTAAAATTTTTTTAACCGAGACAATGTCATTCCATGTTATAGTCTCTCCTGTGTGTGCACCTTGACAATGACAGCATGGAATCCGAGTGTCTTTGCCCCTGTAATAGTCTCAGGCTCCTGTGTAACCTAGGAAATGAGCGATGGAATGAATGAAAAAGTATTCCTCGGCTCCTTTTCATGCACGATGCCATGTAATCGGAAGACTTTGGGGTCACCAGCATCAAATGAGAAAGTTTGTCTTATGAAACGGAGTTAGCAGCGTACGAGGTCGCCGACCCAAACCGCTGTCAGCGTTGCAGTGCTTCTGCTGCACTGTGGTGTCATGTTTCCACGAGATTACAACGTTGTTCCCCACCTAAAGAATGTAGGACATCCCCATGGGCCAGACACAACTTGATTTACATGGCGTTCAACCCGATGACAGGCTTTCTGAAGGTGCGATGAGATTCATATAACAGGCATTCTGGTGTGATTTACCTCAACTACGGCTGGATTTCGGTGCGTCAGCATTCTCAAACCACTGGAATTATTTTTTTTTTCCCCTCAAGTGACCGTTGGTGGAATTGGCTTTATTCTTTGTTCTAAGCTGAGATCTCATCACAAAAGTTTGTACTATAGTGGGCTGACGGGTCATTAAACAATCGAGGCCGCCCTGCTTCTATTCTCTACCTTTTTACTAGGGTCGCAAAGTTGGACCTCACGTGCTCTTGCTTGGCTTGTGTGCACGTTTAGATCTGCCGGCAAAGTGCCAGTGAATGAAAAAAAGGAACAGCCAAGAAGCATCATGAGCGAGGCCTCCAACAACACGGGCGGCTCGGACTGTGCCGCAAACCAATCCGGCGCAGCAGCAAGGGTGAGTAACATACATGATGGGGCAACTCTGACCAGAAAATAGAACTAGGTGAAATTTTGATGTCTTTTAACACGGTCTTTTTGGAAAATAACAGCTGACATATACATTGCAATTGTAGGCATCAAGACCGCCTAAAAAACTTCATAATTTTGGAAAGAGATCAAATTCTATCAGGAGGAATCCCAGCGCTCCCGTTATAAAGAGGGACTGGCTCTATAAGCAGGTAAACAAAACGCTTTTGTTTGTGCGAGTTATTTTCTGTGCACTGATTCTGATGGTGTTCATTTAGAAGTAACGTTTTCATGGTCTTTCGCAAAAACAGCACCATAATGGCCTTGGGGCTTTGTTTTTATTGCTCGATAGAAAAAATGTTGGAAAAGTCATAAAAAAATCAGCAGACTATTCCTTTTCAGATTTACATTGGCGATAGAAAGACACACCACAGTTCAAAGTTTTTGTTGCATGAAAACATCATTCAAATAGTGGCGGGCGTGTGCTGACACCCATTAAACACGTGTTTGAATGCGATTGCAAAATTCTGAGCAAAGCCACATCCCTAGTTATAACATGTTCACACCTCTGCAACGACATTGTCAGTTAATTTTTTTACTTTCCCTCTCAAAGGTTTGTTTTTTGCATTTTTCAGTTGTGTTGGATAGGTTATAGATCACGTGAATAGTTTTGAAATCATTTTTCCACCAAAACATGGAATTTGAATGGGGGGGTGTAGACTTTTTATATGTATGATAAATGATCAGGTATAAGATATGTATTTGATGCCATAGAAGATCGGATTTATTAGTCCACTTTTGCTGGCTTGGCTACATAAGCACTGTTTGAATAGCGGTCCTTTATCAGGGCTCCTGCTTGCAGCAGCCGGGGTGAAAAGGGGATGCTCGAGGCGCTCGTTTGCCAGAAAGGACTCTCAGGCGTCAGTGGCAGACTCATTTAGCTTTGATTGCAGCCTCCCAGCCGCGTCCTTTCAATGCACGAAGGCTTCCTTTGGTTGTGCTGCCAGCTGCTGTTTCTTTAGGAGCTCAATCAGGGTGATGGAGATCAAGCACGAGCTCAACAACTCAGCGACGCTGAATAAAAGCTGGATCTTCGCGTATTTTCCTGCCTCTGTGAAACTGAGAAGCAATTGAAGTCCTTCTAAGTCCGTTGAAGGAAACATCTAAACCCTTCAGCGAATTCATCGGTGACATATAAGTGTCCCTTTGAGGGGACAGTGAAATACTTATTTTTGAATTCAGTCCAGTGAATGCACTGGTGTCAAAGTCAAGGCCCGGGGGCCAGATCCGTCCCGCCACGTCATTTTGTGGCCCGCTGGAGCAAATCATCTGCGTCAACTTTCATGATCCTTGCTGAAATCTGTACCGAAATGTCAAATTGTCATGGGGAAGAAATGACGTTCCCTCCGAGGGAAGCCGTAACTCTGAAGTGGCCCGCGACAAAAAATGAGTTTGACACCCCTGAGTTAAGGTCTGAACGTTGTCTCAAGCTTCTGCTGGAACATTTTAAGAACAGCTTGGCGGAGCACATTGTTCAATATCTTGTCGAGACTTTGACTAATTTCTTTTGAAAAGTATTTCATTGTTATACTGAAAGACTTATCTTTAATTTCACCTACCAACCTAAACCACTGCTATGGCAACCCTCCAGGCAGTATTCTTCTGCTCAACATCTATTGCTTTGAAACAGGATTTCAGACCATTTGGTGAAAATTTCTCTCTATTAAAAACAACAATGTTTTAAAAGCCATTCATTTTCCACTTTATCACTCAAGAAAAATGTAGTCAAATGCCAAGTCATATCCCATCATAATTAAGTGAGAACCTTAAATGCTCTCTCCAATTGAATTAATCTTTTTTTTTTTTTTTTTCCGGTAGCTAACTATGTATCTGACTCTTCTGGTGTCTTTGCAGGACAGCACCGGGATGAAGCTGTGGAAAAAGAGGTGGTTTGTGCTGTCAGACTTGTGTCTCTTCTATTACAGAGGTGAGTCATTCCAACGAAACGCATCTTTCAATGCTACTGCTTGCAGCAACTGTACCCTGCACGCTCTCCTTAAGCCATGCCCCGGGCTACTTCTGTTTAGCTGGACTCAATCCCTGTGCTTGTACAAGATCCAAAGAGACTGTTGGAATGGCTATGTAAGGAACATGGCTTGGATTATGCCTTCCAAACATGGTTTTGACAAAAGGAGCTAAGCTGGAAAATGGCTTTCACACCGATTTAGAGTTGTGAAACGAGTTTCCAGGAATCAAGCAGGCTCCTCTCACATTGCGGTTCCTCTGTCATGAATCCTTAAATTTTCCCGACGACATTTACAGACACCCTTGTAATCCCAACAAGCGACCAAAACCGTGCACCCTATATCTGCCAATATTAGATTTTGATCAGACTTTTTTTTGTTTCTTTGTTAGCAGCATTACTATCCGACCAATGGATTTAGATCCAGATTGATGGTTCTCATCGTGACTATTTCTGCTCCCAAGCCGTCGGTGGGAAAGATGTTGAGGCTGATAATGAGTCGCCATTATTACACAGATTTGGAATGTCTGAAATATTGACACTTTTGGAACGAGTGATTGTATCGTGTCTAGTTAAGTTCAGTGCTTAAGTGTAGTCCACATGAAAGTTAATAACTCCAAGGAGATAAATAAACCGTCTTTCATATTTATTAATAGTTCCTTT